CACCACTCACTAAAAGGCAGCTCCAGTTGTTGATGTTAAGATCTACTTTAGGAACTCATTAACAAAATGATCTCTGGAGCCAGTGTTCTGGTGCAGTGGGTTACACTGCTGCCTGCAATGCCAATATTCCACGTGGGCACTGGTTCATGTGCAGGGTGCTCCACTTCTGATCCAGCTCCCTGTTAACGTGTCTGGGAAAGCAGTGTTAGATGTGGTTGGGCCTCTGCAACCCTGTGGGAGACCCAGCTGGAGTTTCTACCTCTGGTTTCAACTTGGCCCTGCCCTGGTTGTTACAGCCATGGCCCTGCCCTGGTTGTTACAGCCATGCCAGAAGTAAATCAGCAGATGGAAGATCTCTCTCTGTGTATCTCTCTCTGTAATAATTTTGCCTACCAAAAAAAAAAAAAAAAAGTGATCTTTAACATCAATTTCTTCATCACTAGAAGGTAGAAAATTTTTAAAAAGAGATAACCATTAAGGAAAATTTAGAAAGACGTTGAACATGAATTCTCACATACTACCTGGAAAGGTGAGAAAATGAGAAAGTGCTGATCAATTTGGAAACAGTAGATGAACTGTAGAATCAGACACAGGTAACATATAGAAACAGTGTTGTGGACTACCTGAGTTTGTATAGTTCTCAGGAACCAGAAAAAGTTATCTAATAGGTAGCATCTAGCATTTCAGGAAAACAGCTGGGCTTGAGGATATAAGCTATCTTAGAAGCTGCGCAATCTTTTCATGCTCCCAGCTGTAGGTCACCACCAAGCCAAAGTTAAAGGCCCATGAGAATACTTCAGAAAGTTTGTGAAAATAGGATTAAAAATTTATTTTGATGAAAAAATGAAAGTCATGCATTTGAAGGGTCTTCAAAAAGTCCATGATATCTGGGTTCTAGTCCCGGTTGGGGCGCCGATTCTGTCCTGGTTGCTCCTCTTCCAGTCCAGCTCTCTGCTGTGGCCCAGGAGTGCAGTGGAGGATGGCCCAAGTGCTTGGGCCCTGCACCAGCATGGGAGACCAGGAGGGAGTACCTGGCTCCTGACTATGGATCAGCACAGCGTGCTGGCAGTAGTGGCCATTTGGGGAGTGAACCAATGGAAGGAAGACCTTTCTCTCTGTCTCCCTCTCTCTGTCTAACTCTGCCTGTCAAAAAAAAAAAAAAAAATTCCATGAGAAATATGTATTATAAAAAATATTCTGAAGTTTTTTGCATCCAAATAAACTTTTAATTCTATTTTTCTATTAACTTTTTAAAATACTCTCTTAGTATCTATAGCTGAGGTGGATATGACTAACATGAAAATAACCATTAACATCATCCAACAAGATGTTGTTTTATTTCCATAGTCATCATAGAATCTTCGATTTGGAATCTGGCTTTTCATGCAAATTTTTAACTTAAACCAAGTGTCTCAACTATCCTATCTCAATGAATTTCTCACTATAACCTAAATGCTGCAGAGAATCCCAAAAGTCCTTAAAGTGTCTGTCTATAATGATTAGCTTATCTTCAACACATTTGAAATGGTACTAAGTAAACATAATACTTGGAAGGATTGAGAAAAATACTCAATAAAATCCATTCTATAGACTTAATTTTCTCCATGGACCCAAACAACTGAAAAGCTTCACAAACTGACATTTTGGTTTATAAGTCTCGTGATTACAATGGATTTGTCCAGTTTCCTCCAGGTTCAAGGGTAAAGCATTGCTCATGGCCATAGTTCACTGACATGTAAGTTGGCTTATCTTGTCATATGTTCTCTACTATAGGATGACTATACTTTAGTATCTCACAGATGACATATTTTGCACTTTAAAATGTTTTAAAAAGTGTTTTAGAGCCTTCTAATAAATCTATACTAAAAAGGAAACATGATACTTAAAATAGAACCATTTTGAAAGTCTTAACTTACTGGGCTTAAAATTAGGTTTTATTATATCTAATGTTTTCATCATGAATATTACACTCTATACTAAAATACCACAAAAAATTTTCTAAACTCCATATCAAAGCAATAGAATGTCATGAGTCTTTAAGATTTTAAATCAGGGGAAAAGGCAAAGGTCAAAACCACAGCAGCTAAATTAAAATCCAAAGAAACCTTGAAAAAGAAGTCTCATCAACAGACATTTCTGTAGATTGTCTCAGTTTAATATTCATCATTGGAAAAAAAAAAAAAAAAACAGCATCACTTCCCTAACTCAGTAATTATGCATTGTTGTAAAAACATGACTCTCATGATTTTGCAAAGAGAAAATGTTAGAAACATTCAGGTGGTTATCATATAGCTTTCATTATCTAATAACAAGAAAAGAGGGGGACAGAGCAGGAAGGAAGGAGACTCAATCAACCATAATTCCTGGATTAGAATGGCTCTACAGAGTACAATACGGTGGATGCTACTAATTCCCCAGAATGCACTCTTCTGCTATCAACACTTAGGAACTGAGAACTGAGACTTTAAAAGGAGAACTCAAGCAAAGGAAATTAGTAATGATAACAAAACTAGATTTGCAAGATTTAAAGTAACTTGACTGAAACAACCACCACAAACTAATGTTAAAGGTGAACCTAATTAACGCAAAACAGGTTAAAGTTTCTGGATGTTGAAATGAAGGCATATTATTTACTCCTGGTATACGAAATACTCTGGTATACGAAATATTAACTTTATATGTAACATCAAAATGTAAAAGTCCATAACCAGCTTTATTCTACATTTTGGTGAGCTTCCCAAGCAGGAAATAAAACTGATACTTACTATAGTAACCATATAATACAGTGTCTTCAATCTGTCTGCTGACATTAGCATTAGCCCATTCCTAGAATAGAAACAATAAAAATACTAATGAAACATCCATTCATCTAACAAATATAGTTAACTTTTCATAGGACTAAACATCACTTCTAAAATCTATCATTTCTTCAAGAAGTGACAAATACACATAATTTTCAATCAGTGAACTCTGAGATGACAACATAATTCTGAGGAAATAACACACACATACATAAAGGCACCTAACTCAGACTGAAGATCAGAGGATGGCTTTTCGAAACCTACTCTAAACTGAGGCCTGAAGGAAAAATGATATTCTCAGAGAAAAGGAGAAAATAGCAGGAAGGAAAGAAATATAAAAGAGGGTTTTGAAAAAACTGTAAGAGCCTAATACATTCACTAGAGATTTTGGAAAAGTAAATAAAAGCAAGTGTAGAGAGGGAGGTAAGGGGGTATGAGGAGGCACTGGGGAGTCATGCTAAGTATTTTGGACTTTATCCTAAAGTCAGTGAAAAAATCATGATATATTTTATGTAGAGTAACAAACTTGATTTGTATTTCAAAAATAACTTATTTGTGTATGCTACACAATTTTAAAGAAATACCTAAAAGTTAGTCTAGACTCCTTTGCATCCATCCCACAGTGCTCTTTAAACTACTAAACTTAAAAAAAGTGATTCAAATTTGTCTTTTCAAACAGAAAAAATGCACATTAGTCTGAACTGAGGTATGTCATAGATTTTTTTGTCTAATGCCTAAATTCTGTGAAAAATTAAACTGGGAGAGTCGAAGGAAGTGATCACTGTTATTTAATAAAGACTGAAATTATAATCCAGGTCAACAAGTTTTTATAAATACTTTGAGTTCAAGTCAGTGGTAACACCCCAGTGTAACTGTTCTTAAGAAGGATATCAGGCCGGCGCCGCGGCTCACTAGGCTAATCCTCCGCCTAGCGGCGCCGGCACACCGGGTTCTAGTCCCGGTCGGGGCGCCGGATTCTGTCCCGGTTGCCCCTCTTCCAGGCCAGCCCTCTGCTGTGGCCAGGGAGTGCAGTGGAGGATGGCTCAGGTGCTTGGGCCCTGCACCCCATGGGAGACCAGGAAAAGCACCTGGCTCCTGGCTCCTGCCATCGGATCAGCGTGGTGCGCCGGCCACAGCGCGCCAACCGCGGCGGCCATTGGAGGGTGAACCAACGGCAAAGGAAGACCTTTCTCTCTGTCTCTCTCTCTCACTGTCCACTCTGCCTGTCAAAAAATAAAAAAAAAAAAAAAAAAAAGAAGGGTATCAATATTAAATTTCCCTTAAAAGAATTTTAGATTTATTTCTCTTTGTTTTCCTTTTTTGCCTACTGACACCTCTACCAAAGAACATTTATGCATTGCTTGTTGATAAATGCTGAAAAGAAAATATAATACAAATTTACTTATATAAATGCAAAGTTTTAATACACAATGTAAAAGAATACAATATTTGTCCAATGACAATAAAGACTACTAAGCGCAAGTAAAAACATATTAGCTACACAAAGACAACTATTAATGATAGCACCTAAAAGATTTAAATAAATGGAAGGTCACCTGTTCCCAAATGTAAAGATTTTAAATACCAATTCCCTCTAAAATAATCTCTAAAACAATATATATTATCAATCAAAATCCCAATTTGTTAGGAAGTAGAATATATTGACATATTGCTTCTAAAAGACATCTGAAAACACAGCTAGGCAAGGGCCAGGAAAAAAATGTTTAAAAGACTAACAATACTACGCTTAATTAATTCTGCACTTCACCAACAACTACATTTTACTAGTGAAACATGAAAAGTTATTTTTACAGTAATCTTTCACCTACATAATTGGTAAAATTTAAGTTGATAATGTCCAGTTGAGGCAAAACATGGAGGAAAAGCCATCTCCTACTCAGTGATGGTAAGAAGAATCGTCTGTGACCTAGGCATCTTTTCTCCAATCTATCCTAAAAATTATCATCCTACTTTATTTGAACAATATTTCTTTTTTTGTTTGTTTTTTTTTTGTTTGTTTTTTTTTTGACAGGCAGAGTGGACAGTGAGAGAGAGAGACAGAGAGAGAAAGGTCTTCCTTTGCCGTTGGTTCACCCTCCAATGGCCGCCGCTGCAGCCGGCGCACCGCGCTGATCCGATGGCAGGAGCCAGGATCCAGGTGCTTTTCCTGGTCTCCCATGGGGTGCAGGGCCCAAGCACCTGGGCCATCCTCCGCTGCACTCCCTGGCCATAGCAGAGAGCTGGCCTGGAAGAGGGGCAACCGGGACAGAATCCGGCGCCCCAACCGGGACTAGAACCCGGTGTGCCGGCGCTGCAAGGTGGAGGATTAGCCTATTGAGCCACGGTGCCGGCTTGAACAATATTTCTTTACTTACTTATTTATTTGAAAGGCAGAGAGACAGAGACAGGCAAATAGAAAGAGTTCCTCTGATCCACTGCTGCATCCCCAAATGACAATAGCCAGGCTTGGTCAGGGCTGAACCCAGGAGCCAAGAACTCAATTCAAGTCTCCCACATGGGTGGGAAGAACCCAAATGCTTAAGCCATCACCTGTTCCCTCCCAGGGTACACATTATCAGAAGCTGGAATTGGAGGCAGAGCAGGTACTAAAACCCAGACACTCTAAAATGGGACATGGACATCCCAGTAGGATTTTAACCACTAGGCCAACAGTGGGGAATGTCTGGCCCACGGGTACATAAGGCCCATGTAATCACTGGGTCTGACCCTGTCAAGGCAATCGCCTCTGGGACTCGAAATTCAAAAAATCTATAGCAGGCTAATTTTTAAGCTGGTAACTTTTTATAGCCCATGAATAAATAATGTTATAAATATCCAAATGGTCCTTTGCATAAAAAAAGATTTCCCATCCCCTGCTCCAAGCCAAATGCCTGCCCCTAAAGATACATTTTTTTAAAGCCAAGCAATATTGTCCAACAAATGACCTCAGGATTCTTCCTGGGCTGCTCCCACTAAGAGAGTCCAAATGTGGTCTCCCTTTCCCACGTTGGAAAAGATACTCGCAATTTCAATTACTCATGAGACCAAGGAAGCCAAAGTATCCCCAGGTGTTTAGCAACCAGACTATTCTAGCACTCCATGAATAGCCTGTATCTCCTCAGCTGCAATTACTTGACATCCAAGTCCACAGCGTTTGTCTACCTGCAAGACCACCCTTCTGCTGACCCTATAAGAAAGAAGATGAAGTTGAGGCACCTGTGCTAAGGCCGCTGCACTTTGAGAGAGCTTATCTGTTCATAATGTTGAATTATAAAAGAACCTACACATTTGCTGACCTTATCTCAGTAAATTCAAACCTGAATCAAGTAATATTTATTTGGTTTTCTGAAGAGCCTTTTGCCAAACAGTATTCACGAGAATGTTGTTTAGAATATCTCTAAAAAGAAAAAACAAACAAGGAATCGGTGATAATCTCAATTTCCAGAGCAGAAATGTTAAAGTGTATTGCTATACACTCAACATAGAATACATTGCAGACATTAAAAATGAGACGAGGGCCAACACTGTGGCACAGCTGGTTAAGCTGCGGTTTGTGACACCAGCATCCCATATTGGAGTGTTGGTTAGAGTCCCTGCAACTGTACTCCTGGTCCAGCTTATGCTAATGTAAATGGGAAGGCTTCAGAAAATGTTCCAAGTACTTAGGTCTCTTCCACTCATGTTGGGGACCAGGATGGAGTTCCTGGCTCCTGGCTTCAGCCTGGCCCAGCCCTGGCTGCTGCAGCCACTTTTTGAGTGAACCAGCAGATGGGAGATCTCTGTCTCCCCTCTCTCTATTGCTCTGCCTTGCAAATTAACCAATTCATCTTTTAGAAAACTTAAACCTGCCTGGGCTCAAGTCCTGGCTCAGTTTCTGATTCCAGTTTCCTGTTAAATGCGCACCCTGGAGGCAACAGATGATGGCTCAAGTATTTGGGTCCCTGCCACTCATGTGGGAGACTAGGATTGAGTTCTGGGTTCCTAGCTTCACTTTCGTCCAGCTCCAACTCTTGTAGGCATTTGGGGAGTGAACCAGAAGATGGAAGCTATCTCTCTGTGAGTGTGTATGTGTGTGTGTGTGTGTGTGTACCTCTATTTTTGCATCTCAATTTTTTTCTTAAGTGTTAAACTTTAAAATCAGATAAGAGCCCAATCTTGGTAAACAAAATTAAAGACAGAAATCTGGGGCCAGTATTGTGGCATGACTGGTTAAGCCACCGCCTGCAACGCTGGCATCACATATGGGAGCTGATTCAAGTCCAGACTGCTCCACCTCCACTCTAGCTCCCTGCTAATGTGTCCGGGAAAACAAAGAGGATGGCCCAGGTCCCCTGCATCCTCCTGGGAGACCCAGAAGAAGCTCCTGGCTCCTGGCTTTAGTCTGGCTTAGTCCTGGCTGTTGTGAGCATTTGGGGAGTGAACCAGAGTTTGGAAGAGCTCTCTCTCCCTCTCTCTCTCTCTGTAACTCTGACTTTCAAATAAGTAAATAAACCTTAAAAAAAGAAAAACCTAGATTGCAGTAAAATCTTTTTTTTCTTAATCCGAGATCATTTAAGTCTCAAGAATCACTGAAATGTAACATCTTTTATTCAACAAGATTTTTTTTGTCTAACCAGTTCTTATGGTAATAAGAAAATATAACTGCTACAATTTTAAAGCTACAAATATGTGTAAAATGTACATCATTCAAGTACTATTAGTATTTTGGACTTTTATACATTCTATTCCCTCCAAAATATCTGATGTCATGTCAAGAGAGCTTATTTTATGAAACTTTTCTTATTCTACATTTTGAGAAGTACTATGTATGCCCTTGGTATGTTTTATAAACTATCATCTTCCACCCCAGAAACTAAAAGGAACTTCAGTCATTCAAAACACAAAGGAATATGAGAAAGACTATTTTAAAAAGGTATTAAATAAAGCATATTTCACAAGAAAGGGAAAAGATATGCATTCCACTGAACAAAGATATAGTGGGTCACATGTGTAATTTCCCTTTCTCATTCTTCAAGATTGATGTTTTTTTTTTTTTTTTTTTTTTTTGACAGGCAGAGTGGACAGTGAGAGAGAGAGAGACAGAGAGAAAGGTCTTCCTTTGCCGTTGGTTCACCCTCCAATGGCTGCCGCGGCCGGCGTGCTGCGGCCGGCACACCGCGCTGATCCGATGGCAGGAGCCAGGTGCTTCTCCTGGTCTCCCATGGGGTGCAGGGCCCAAGGACTTGGGCCATCGTCCACTGCACTCCCTGGCCACAGCAGAGAGCTGGCCTGGAAGAGGGGCAACCGGGACAGAATCCGGAGCCCTGACCGGGACTAGAACCCGGTGTGCTGGCGCCGCAAGGCGGAGGATTAGCCTAGTGAGCCGCAGCGCCAGCCAAGATTGATGAGTTTTTAAGACCCTCTGTGGAACATAAGCTCCAACATGACTCTCCTCACTTTTACCTGATAATCTCACCTTAGATCAATGACTGTTATTCAGTAGCCAATTTGTTTCCCGTGGGACATCTGGCAATGTCTAGAGAATTGGTCAGGGAATGGGGAGTAGGCAGAGTGCTGCAAGAATCTAGCAAATAGAGGCCAAAGATGTTGTTGAACACCTACAATGCATAGGACAGTCCCCTCTAACCAAGAATTATTCATTGTAAGATGTCAGTGATTGAGAAACACTGGCTTAGATACTCTAAAATAATTTGAAGCCAAAACACAGAGGCTCACTCAACTCCCTACTAAATTTGAAACCCAGCTCAATCTGTATCCTAAGTCTTCCTTCCTCCAAAGTGCCCATACTCCTATTTATGTTCCAGTTCTTTCACTTTTAGAAATCAAACTCCTTTGCCTTCTCAAGGACATTACACCTGCAATGGTATTTTTCTCCTCACTCAAAAATTTCTCTACTCTATTGAATTCTAAAGTATGCAAACTCTAGTAACCTCACGCATAAGCACACATAAAAAATATCCCCATAAACACCACTTCTTAATCCCCTAGAGGACAAAACTTCCTGAAAAGTTGTCAGCATTCTCTACCACTACTCTCTCATCTCTCTTTAACATTTAACCCACTCCAATCTGACTACTCTACTGCCCCAATGAAATTACTCTTCATACCCACCAATGGCCAAAGCCAAGGCTCTCTTTTCTTGTCCTCTAACTTCACCTCTTAACATCAATCAAAAAGAGCTATCATTCTCTCTTCCTGAAACATACTCTTCTTCTGAATTTCTCTTCAGTTTTCCTTCCTATCTCTCAGTTTACAGCTTCTCCCCTTTAGTTGGCCTCTACATAATGGAGCACTTCAGTCCGTAATCCATTGTCAAATTTTTCCTAAATGCTCAGTCTCTCCAGCTACTGATCAGTCCATTACTCCAAATATCATCCATTTTGACCTTCAAGTATTCTCTCCAGTACTAAGCTCTCCTTGGAGACTTCAGCTCCATCTCGACTTCTCCACTTGCCTACGTGCATACATGTCATTAGTCCTCTGCACTTCCCTATTTTTCTCAGGTGTATACAACCCCATGCATCAGTGCTCTAAGTTTCATTTTCACTCACCACCTCTTAGTACATCTAAACAGTTCTCCCTCCAAAAATATGCCATTCTTAATCATTCCTCTCAACCAGCTCTACTTTAGTCCAAATTATCATTATTTTTATTTGTATTAACTTCCCATTGCAGAAGGAGAAACTCATTTACATAACCCAAAAGTGATACACCATCTAACCCCTGTCACTCTCTGGATCTAGCTTTTACCAAAACAAAACCCTCATTATCACACTTCAGCCAAATAAAGCAACTTTATCCCTGTCTGAGAGTCTCTGCATTTTCTGCTTGTTTCTCTCTAGATGGTCTCCCTGTGGCTCCTCACCTGATAGGCTCCTCATCCAGATCTCAACAACCTCAAAATTTCTACCTTGTTATATTTATTGACTGACTATTGGTCTGGCCTTCACCGACTGAAAGCTGTAAAGCAATCTCTTCTGTTCTGCTTGTTACTCTCCAGCACCTACAATTGTCAGGCATGTACTATGGGCTTAATGAGTAAGTAAATACAGTTAAGGCTCAACGAAGAATACAAAGTTCTAAGATGAACATAATTAGAAAATAGGAATGAGGCAAAAGTAGAGTTCAACTTAGACACTTGTCAAACACATAAAGAGATTAATCATTAGAGAATGGGAAAAAGTTATGAAATACACTCAAACACTAACTGTTGTGATGCCTGGTCTTTACTACCAATTTTAAAAAAAGTTTATATGTTGTATAAAATAAAGAATAATTGTTCACACTAGTGTCAGTTTGTATGTTTTATTTTTGATTGGCAGACTTTCTGTATAACACTTTCTACTGGCCAACTACAGAAAATTTTTTTAGAGAGCCTTTAGCTATGTTTTAAGGTCCTTGTTTAGCTAAAAAATTATTTCACAAAAAAAAAGAAGAAAATCTTCTAGCTAAAATTATTAGTAATGCTGTATGTTGAAGAAAAGTTAAGAGAAACATCTCAGGCATTATAATATACACCAGCCATGATAAGACAGAGAGGATATAATAAAGGTAATAATAAGCTAAGATGGTAACTAAGACAAAAAGAAAGCAGCGTTGACTGGCTGCTCACAGAACAGCCTGGCTACCTTCTGTTCTTCAGAAAAATACTGGCAATCACTGATGATACACACAGTTTCCACATAATCATACATTGCAACCAAGTTCATAATGAGTGCAGCAGCTTTAAAATATTTAAGGAGGAAATGCAGAAACTTATAGGCAATGCACAGATACTCATTTAAGAATAAAATGCAGGGCCAGAGCTGTGGCGTAGTGGGTAAAAGCCTCTGCCTGCAGTGTCAGCATCCCAAATGGGCAGCCAGTTCATGTCACAGCTGCTCCACTCAGGATCCAGCCTCTGGCCTGGGAAAGCAGTAGAAGATGGCTCAAGACCTTGGGCCCCTATACCCTGTGGGAGACCCGGAAGAAGTTCCTGGCTCCTGGCTTTGAATCTGCACAGCTCTGGCCGTTACGGCCAACTGGGGACTGAACCAGCAGATGAAAGACCTCTCTCCCTCTCTCTCTCTCTCTCTCTCTGCCTCTCCTTCTTTCTCTGTGTAACTCTTTTAAATAAATAAATAAAATCGTAAAAAAAAAAAAGGAATAAAATGCACAGTATAAAAGCTAGGATACAGTACAAATCATCATAGAAAACAATGTGAATTCACACACTTACTCTACCTAATAAAAGTAGAATAGATTAGAGCCAAGTGGCATATCTTTAACATGACTAGATCTACAACTGTGGCATCAAGTCGTAACTGTTAAATATTGGCACTAATCTTTAAGTACCTAAAGAAAAGTTCATGGGGCCGGTGCTGTGGCACAGCGGGTTAAAGCCCTGGCCTGAAGCGCCGGCATCCCATATGGGCACCAGTTCTAGTCCCAGCTGCTCCTCTTCTGATCCAGCTCTCTGCTATGGCCTGGAAAAGCAGCAGAAGATGGCCCAAGTCCTTGGGTTCCTGCACCCACATGGGAGACCCAGAAGAAGCTCCTGGCTTCGGATCAGCACAGCTCTGTTTGTTGCAGCCACCTGGGGAGTGAACCAGTGGTTGGAAGACCTCTCTCTCTCTGTCTCTACCTCTCTCTGTAACTCTGTCTTTCAAATAAATAAATCTTAAAAAAAGTTCATTGGGGAAAAGTTGCTTTAAAAAATGGTGCGCAATAGTAAGGAAGTCACTTACGATGCCCATTTTTCACATCAGAGTGCCTAGCTTCTAAACTTTGCTTTATATTCCAGCGTCCTGCTAATGTGCACCAAGGGAGGTGGTAGATGATAGTTCAAGTACTTGTGTCATTGCCCCGATGTGGGAGACTCCTTTTGAGATGTGGGCTCCTGGCTTCTTACTTACCTAACCCCAGGCAATGAAGGCATTTGGGGAATGAACCAGCATATGAAAGATCACTGTTTCTCCCTCCCTCCCTTTAAAATATTTTAAAAATTTAATTTTTTCACTTCTTTTGAGAGTCAGCAAATAGGAGACCATCAAATGCAAAGCATGAATTTCACTAATCAAAAAATGAGAAAGAAGAGATGGGAATGAGAAAACCACATACTAAGAATGAGTCAAAATATCAAGAAAAAAGTATCAAAGTACCAAGAAAAAACATGATACACTAGCTAAGCTACCTGGTTATTCTCTGAAAATAAAGAAAGCACTAGTAACTCTGAAGAACAGAAAAACAAAATAGAACTTACAATTGCTGGATAAATAATTCTATAATAATAAAAGTTTTTATAAAGTGGATAAAAGCCATTAACAAAGATGTTTCCCCTCCCTAATTACTGATGCTACATTTGTATTTAACAGATATAAGGTAAGGGCACTAACTACAACTTTGTATTTTCTTTGGCAGGTTCACTCCCCAAATGGCCGCAATGGTCAGAGTTGGACCGATCCAAAGCCAGGGGCCAAGGAGCTTCCTCCAGGTCTCCCACGTGGGTGCAGAGGTCCAAGGACTTGGGTGATCTTCTACTGCTTTCCCAGGGCACAGCAGAGAGCTGGATTGGAAGAGGAGCAGCCAAGACTAAAATGTCCCATATGGGATCCCAGCGCAGGTGGAGGATTAACCTACTGTACCACAGCGCCAGCCTCAAGAGTTCATTTTTCTCAAAGAAACCTAGCGAATGAAGAGCTCTGAGGCCAGACTGCAGAGCTTCAAATCTTAGCCATTTTATTACTTCATCTCTCTGAACCTTGGTTTCTGGCTCATAGAAACATAGAGAATAGTGTCTACCCATAGGGTTGACTGGGAGATCAAAGGTAGTTATTAGACATAAACTTCTTAAAATATAAAATGATATTAGTACGTATTCAATAGATGTCCATTACTATCTTCATAATACTACAGTGTTCTGCATCTACTAAGTGCGCAATTAATGCTTGCTCAATGAATGACCTTTAAAAAACAGATTTTGAAATTTTACAGCAATCAGAATGAATTTAAAACTAACTACAAGATAATTATCAAATAATTTAAGCCATTTGGAAACTATTCTGCAAAAATGAGCCAATTACTGAGATAACTGAAATGATACTATTCCATTTAAATATTTATATATCATGTGCTGGATACTCTGAATAAAACAGAAATAGTTCCTGCCTCATAGAGGATTAAGCTAACAAGAAACCTAAAAATAATTTGCATAATTCAAAGGAAATTTGAAAGTCTTCCAGTCCACGCCCTTCATTTTGAAAATGAGGAACTTCAAGTCCAGAAAAGTGAGGTACATATCAGTCATAATCCCAGGCTACCCTATTATCCCAACTCAAAGTACTTACTATGAAACCTAGATAAAGATTCTGATCTAGTGATGGGTGTTCAGCATAATGCACCCACAGCTAAGCACCAGCAGCCAAGGCACTCACACCCCATGTTGGAGTGCCTGGGTTCCAGTCCTGGCTTTGCTTCCAATTCCAGCTTCCTGTCGCTGGAATTTTTTTTTTTTAATCAAAAATTCTTTATTGTGAGCCATCCTAAGGTTCCACAGGGGCTCCCAACCATGCTTGCAGGCCCCAACTTTGCCAGAGGGACAGGAGTCCATAGCCTTGCCATGACTCCCATGTCAGGGAGAGTAAGGCCCAGGTTCCTGTGGGTTCCCCTTAGGAAACTATCTACTCTGATCCTGTTCATCTTGTAGTCCCTCCAGGTCACTTCTACTTCATCTGTCCAATACCTCTGTGTAATCCCAGAATCACGGAGTGGGGTTCTGTGTCCGGCCTGGAACATCTGCCAGCCGGCCTGGGCTATCATGGCTCCATTATCAATGCAGAATCTCTCATCTGTGGCAAAAAGCTTAGCTCCGCGTTCCTGGCACATTATCTCCATCATCTCCTGTAGCCTCATGTTACACCCCACACCTCCCACAATGATGGCCTCCTGGGAGCCACAGTGCGCCATAGCTCGCTCCGTGATCTCTACCAGCATTGCAAACATGGTTTCCTGCAAGGAGAAACACAGATCCTCAGGAGTACACTCGCCTGTGGTCAGCAGCCGCTGAGCTGCATCCTCAATAAAAGACAGAATCCCTGAGAATGAGACATCCATCCCCTTTACAGTGTAGGGCAGCTCGACCAGTTTCTTGCCTCTCTTTGCCATCTGTTCAATGTTGTAGCCAGGACTTGGGTCATTAGAAATCTTGAGCACTCGGGCAAAACGATCCAGACAGTTACCCACAGCAATATCGATGGTCTCCCCAAAGATGCGGTAAAGATGTTCTGAGTACGCAATCACCTGTGTGTTTCCCCCGCTGACATACAGCACAGTTGGGCTGGTGGCTCCAGTGATGAGACGGCCCATCTCAATGTGGCCTTTACAGTGGTTCACGCCTAGCAATGGCTTATTCCACAGCTGGGCCACAGTACGAGCCACGACAGCCACAGAAACCAGTGGAGCACCCATGCCAGGACCCTTGGTGTAGGCAACGCACTCAATATCCTGGGAGGTTAATCCTGCCTTGGTCAGCGCCTCCTGTAGCAGATCTAGGATAACAACTCAGTGGTGCCTGGCAGTGTCACCTGGAAGGAATCCTGTGCCCGGAGGCCTGACATAGGTCCGCCGCGGGTTGGCCAACACCTTGCCATCCCGCACCACTCCCACGCCAATCTTGTTGGCGCTGCCTTCAAACCCCAGCACCGTTGGCATGGCGCCGCCTGAGAGAGAACGCCCAGGCACCAAACACCGAGCTGCAGCAGCCCTCGGTGGGTGGTGCCGGCACGCTGTTGGTAAACAGTAAACTGTGCCCGGACACTAGCAGGTTGCTAGCAGGTGATGTCTCAAGTAGTTGGGTCCCTGCCATACATTTAGGAGACCTGCATCAGGTTCCTCGCTCCTGGTTTTGGTTCGGTCCTGCCACTGTGGGCTTTGTGGGGACTGAACCACAAAGCTCTCTGAGCTTGCTGTCTTTCCTGTCTCCTAAATTACAACCCCCAAAAAATTCTGATCTACTATTAACAAAACCCCCTCTAAATCATTCACTTATTGCATTAATGCAAATCAAAACCAAATAACGCTCAAGGGAAGCATATTTACAACAGATTCAAAAATAAAACCTATTATGATTATTGAGAACATTATATGATTAGCAAGTCATTATCTCACACTTGCAATTGTCAAATTAAGAGCTCTTTTATCAATTAATTGTCTGTTTCTAGTCTGCCATGTTAGTTTCTGCATTCTCAGTGTCTAAGCTACATTTCTGGTCTCATTTAATCCCAGATACAAAATCAGAACACAATACAGACTGGACTGGTAAATGATAACATTTGATTGCCAAGAATTTTAAAGGGAAAAAAAAAAAACATAGAAACACAGTACAATAATATTTACCTTAAATGTGCCATTTTGATTTTTCATGTAAGAAACCAAAAATATATCCACTGGTAGAAGTGCTGATGTGATTAGTGCAATTGCTAGAGAAAAAATTGCTGTTATGGTGGAGACAACTTCACTTTCCCGTTGACTTTGGTATTTACGAACATATATCCAGCAGAATGCCAAAATAGCCTAAAACGGAACAGAAAGAAATGTTTGTTACCACCCTAAGTATTTTCATGAAGTCTGAGGTAGGACTCGAAAATCTGAATTTGTAATAGATCCCCAGATGAGTCTGCTGCTGGTCAAGGGATCACATTTTGAGATCCTATGCTGTACTTAATCCAAGCGACAACACAGACAGATAATAAGTCAGTGGTTCTCAGCCTTGCCTCTAAGAATCACCTGGGCAGTTTTATAATACCCTTAGGTTAGGTTAGACACTCCTCTACCTGCTCCCCATTAATTCAATCAGTTAGAGTGAGGTTCCTCCAGGCATCTAAATGCCTCAGGATTTACAATTAGAGCCAAACTTGAGAACCACTGTTTTCAATAAGCTCAGAAAGAGCACTGGGACAAAAGCTCTGTTTTGTCCTTTCACCTGTTGAAAAGATCCACCTGCATTTCCTTTCTGATGTCCTAATTCAGGAGCCTGAAACCAACTGACCACTTTCACAACTTTCAACTTTTCCTACCACAATCTAGATACAAGAATAGTTCCAATACACTAGAGATTTCCCTTTGTCCCATTGTAGTTAACCTCACAAGCATTATACATGTTATCTGTCCCTATAGCTTCTGCCTTTTCTAAAATGTCATAAATGTGTTCATACAGTGTATCATCTTTTGAGTCTGGCTTCCTTCACTTGGCACAATGCACCCAAAATCCATACTCCAAGTTCTTTTGTCATTCCTTCATTCTGCTAGCATTTCAAATGACAGAACAGCAGGAAAAAAAAATTAAGTGACAAGGGAATTAAAACTTGGGAATCTCGGCTCAAATTCTGGTCTCAGTATTTATTAATGTTTCAATTGTTTTGGAAAAGAGCTATTTTTCATAGGATGCATTTACATTAACATTTTAAAGGGTCTGTTTAAAAATGAATTAATAAGTATTGCAAGCATTCATCAAATTTGTTTTGCAGTCCCTGGAAGCTTAGTTTTTTGTCTCTATCCTTGACAGAACTTGACACAGCACGTTCAATACAGTTTTTGCTGGATGTCAGGAATAAAAGGAAACCTGCACGTTTACAAAGTTCAAAGTGCTAGGCCTTCCTGCAAAGGAAAGAGTAACTAAGCAGGCAAGCTGAAAAAGGGAACCAAGTAGCATTCAGGGTTCTGGAACTTTGGGGTCTCAGAATCCCTTGATAGTTTTAGAAAAACTCCAAAGAGTTTTTTGCTCTGTAGTTTACAATGTATCTATTAACAGGTACTGTACTATAAAATAATCAAATTCCTCATCTATAAAATGGAAATCAGAAGGATGAAAGGACTAAATGAAATGTAAAATTTAGCACAGTGCTTGGTCATAATAACTCCTAACCAACAGCAGTAATTATTTCTAAGTGTTTCTTAATATTATTTATATATATATCTAATATTAATTGTTATTAAATGAAATAACACCTTAGAGCAATTTTTAAAAGAAACTAACAAATAACTGCTGGCAGTTAAAGAAAGAGTTGGAATAGTTTTCCCAATCCCTCCCAAGATATTCAGAGCTAACTGGTCTGGTCATTGGGATTTTAAAATCTCTCTAGTTTTAGTGAGCAGCTAAGGCTGAGAACCATTGGGGTAGAGGAAAGAATAAAAATGAATGAGTGTTTATTAAACTAATAAGCAAAGATACTGCCTGGGATCTTGTTAAGCCGCAGATTTTGATTCAGTAGGTCTACAACCATATATTTTGTATTTCTAACAAGTTCCCAAGTGATGCTCACACTGTAAAGTACAAGAGTAAATATGCGTCACAGAAATGAAGACTGTCTCATCAGTAATCAACAATGCAATGTACAGACGGCGTGAGCCTTGGGAACATGTTAGAACCGCTTAGGTCTGATACGGTAAACGCAGACAGATTACAAGCATGAGAGACCAAATCTAACAATTCTTTATGCGGTAGTAGAAACTGAAGCCTATTCTGTTTGCCCAAAATCATAAAGTAGAAACATTCATGTCCCGATTCTTCAGATTACTGGAAGCAGTTTGCAAAGTGTTAAATCCTCAGACGCCAAGAATTCTAGAGTTAAAATGTTTATTCTCACCATACTAAGATGTCAGTTACCTTCTTCACTGTGCTAACATTTGCACTCCTGATTCATAAGCCACAACGGTCAAAACTGCTAGTGCATTAGGACAAATCAAGAAAATGGCACCAAGCTGTGCAAGTACTCATTACATTCTTCACCCCCCCACACACACACACAATTTAACTTACGACTGTGCTTGAAAAGCAGTAAAAATTTACTTTATCAAGCTTTGACACTGCATTGCTTTTGCATTTTTTGTAATACATTATGGGGTAAAATTAAGTCCTTCTATTGCAGATGGAGGTGGGATAGCCATCTCCAGGAAAAGCACCAAAGTACTTAAGAGCTGAAAGCCAGACTGGTCACTCTTTTCAAACAACATCATTTTCCTTTTCTCTTTCTTTCTTTCTTTTTGAATATTTCTTTATTTACCTGAAAGTCAGAATTACAGAGAGAGAGAGGGAGAGATCTTCCATCTATTGATTCTCTCTTTCAAATGGCTGTAACAGAACGGCTTGCTCAGGCCAGAGTCAGGAGCCAGGAGCCTCATCTGGGTCTCCCAATTGGGTACAAGGGCCCAGGCACTTGGGTAATCCTCTGCTGCTTTCCCAGGCCTCTAGCAGGGAGCAGGATCAGAAGCGGAGTAGGTGGGACTTGAACAGGCGCCCATGAGGGATGCAGGTTTGAAGGCAGCAGCTTTACCTGCTATGCCATAAATGCTGGCCCCTCTTGAGCACCATTTTCATTTGAAAGAACAACTGAAACTATGGTTATTCAGTCTTGGATGTTTGAGAGATTTATGTCAAATGAACAAAATCAATTCAAGAAAAATTGACAATATTTGTTACTAGTGATAAACTTCAAGCTTTCAAATGAGAATCAGAATTTTAGAAAATTTGTATTGACTATTATGAGCTTGACAAGGCCTCAATACTTAAGAATTTGGGGGAAATTTCCTAAAAAGATCAGTGATGACTTAATGAATGCGATATTTTGATATCATGTAATGAAACATACCAATTTGGAAGATGCCTATAAATCAGTGAATCAGCACTTTTTGAATAAAAATAGATTATGGTATTAAACCATGCATGAGTACAAGAGCCATTCAAAGTGCAAGTTGGACTAAAAGATTTTAATATTGTTGAGTTTTGGCATAGTATCAAAGTATCTTAAAAATAATCTATGTCTTTTTTAAAAAAAAAAAGATTTATGTATTTATTTGAAGGGCAGCATGATAGAGGAAAGGACAGACAGTGACAGAAAGAGATCTTCCATCCACTGGTTCACTCCCCAAATGGCTACAATAGCAGAGGCTAGGCCAGGCCAAAGCCAGGAGCCCAGAATTTCTTCAGGGTCTCCAACACAGGTGTCAGGCGCCCAAGCACTCGGGCCGTTTTCTGCTGCTTTCCCAGGTGCATAAGCAGGGAGCTGGGTTTGGAAGTGGAGCAGCTAGACTTGAACTGCATCAGATATAGAATGCCAGGCTTTCAAAGTGGTTTAACCCACTGCACCACGACACCCACCCCGTCACTCTGTTTCAGAGTATGCATCACTGAAACTGAATTTTTTTCATGAACTTCAACCAAAATAACTTATCTCAGAAGACTGAATATAGAAGCGGGCATTCAGCCTCGTGGCTGTTATGCCAGTTAAGATACTGCATCCTTGGCCAGCGCCGGCACCCCGGGTTCTAGTCCCGGTCGGGTGCTGGACTCCGTCCCCGCTGCTCCTCTTCCAGTCCAGCTCTCTGTTGTGGCCCAGGAGTGCAGTGGAGGAGGGCCCAGGTCCTTGGGCCCTGCACCCGCATGGGAGACCAGGAGAAGCACCTGGCTCCTGGCTTCAGATCAGCGTGGTGCACCAGCCGCGCTGCGCTGGCCGCAGCAGTCATTGGGGGGTGAACCAATGGAAAAAAGGAAGACCTTTCTCTCAGTCTCTCTCTCTCTCTCTCTCACTGTCCACTCTGCCTGTCAAAAAAAAAAAAAAAAAAAAGATACTGCATCTTAGGTCACGGATACCTGGGTTTGATGCCCAACTCCTGATTCCAGTTTCCTGCCAGTACAGACCTTCAGAGACATCAGTGAGGGCTCAAGTAATTGGGTTCCTGCCATCCACATAGGAGTTCAGGATGACTTCATAGGATGACCAGGCCTGACCCACCCTGGCAGTTGCAGACCTTTGGGGACTGAGCCAATAGATAGGAGCTCTCAATCTTTCTCTGCCTCTTAAATAAGCAAACACACAAAATGAACAAGAAGATTGAATGCAGAAGCAGACATGAGAATCCAGCTGTTTAAATAAACCAGCAATTAGGGAACTGCAGAGACTTAAACAATAGCCCATATTACTAATTCCCCCCACTTCAACACTTGAGTACAAACTCCTTATTTCCCTCCCATTTTATTTGTTCCTGCTGGAATTTCATCAACTGAAATGGCTTCCCTTCTTCATCTACCTTTAGTCTACCTCAGCAGTAGGCTCTGGCACAGAGCTTGGGATGCTAGCATCCCACCTCAGAGCGCCTCGGTTGGAGTTCCAACTCGACTCTCCATTCTAGCTCTCTGCTAATGTGCACCCTGGGAGGCAGCAGGTGATGGCTCAAGTTGTAGGGTCCCTGCCACCCCCGTGGGAGCCCTAGATTGAGTTATAGGCTCCTGGCTTCAGCCGGGGCTAGGTCTGGCTGTTGCAAGTATTTGGAGACTGAGTCAGCAGAAGGAAGATCTCTGCCATCTGTCTCTCTGTCTTTCAAACAAAC